TCAGGATTTACCTTGGAAACCCTGTACCACAGTTTGTAGATCTTTGTCAGTGTCAGCCATGTGGATGAGTAACGACCATTGCTTGACCCAGTTCCTCTCTGTGAAAGCCTGAGAGAATGTTTTCTCTCCATGTGACTCTCCTTAGGCACACTCTACATCATTGATCACTTTCCTTTGTGGCCCCATAACCTCCTTGATCAGAAAATTTGGGACACAACTGAGTTACAGGATGTTACAGTACAGGTTTTTCTATGTCCTAAGTCCTCACTGACCTTAAAGGGCTAAAGCCAAAATGTTGGCTATCCTTGTAGCCCTACAAGTTACATTTTGAAGATGATTTGAAGTTTACTCTGCAGAGATTGAGAAACAGTATGCCAGGAAGTAAAAGCAACAATTGAAAATAAAATCATGAGTGGTATTCACTGAAGATTTATTTTATGCTAGATGTTTTTCTGATTGTATTACTATATTAACTTATTTAATCTTCATGATAATCCTAAATTGTAGATGCTATTTCTAATCTTGTTTTATAGTTGAGGAAATTTGTTCAAAGTCAATCAACTGTTACGTATTAAAGCTAGATAAGTTTGAAAATGCATAACCTGTTCCTGAGATGGCAAGTAGTCTTGAGATGATGGAAGAAAAGCTGAACAGTACCACAGATATGGGTTGCAACCAGATTTTGTGTAGAGAGTTTTGTATATAGTACAATAGAGATCTATGGGATGTTTTCAGATAAGATGGTAGTATGATGAAGTCCATTATGGAGACAGGACAGTATTGCACCATAGTTTCATATTTTGCATTAGGAATTTTAATCTCTAAAATTTGATCTACATTTAGGCAAGATATATTTAGGAAAGTCGTAAGATTTTCAAAGTATCTTCTATAATAAAATGTAGCTCATACTTTCTGCTGAAATGTTTTGCAGTTGTTCTTGTAGTTTTTGTTTTTTGGATTTGTTTTCATTTTGTTTTGTTTTGTTTCTTTTGAGACAGCATTTTGCTAGGTAACCTAGGCTGGCCTCAAACTCACAGCAATCCTCAGCCTGCCAAGTGCAAGAGATTGCAGGAATGTACTACTATACCCAACTAAGATTTTCATATATTGTCTTAAAAATTAAAAAAAAAAAACTTTTACATAGAATCCATTGCACATTGCAACATTTCCCTACGAAAGTCTAAAATAGCCAACAAAAACTATTCCACTGTGGGATAGTTACAGTGTTAACAGAGGAATTTAATTAAGACTTGGCTTTATTGTCCCACCCTTGTTTACCTTTCATTTCCTCTGGTAAATTTCCATTTTATTTTATTTTAACATATGATTGATTTGACTTATGCTATAGCATAATATACCAAAGGAACTGATCCAAATAATTTTATAAAGTGACATTTCTGTTTACTCTCTTCAACAATCAACTGGGGAGTTTTCTAGTACTTATTAACTAGAAGATGATTACAAGTGACAGTGACTAATTGCAAGTTTGTCTGATGTATAACTTTGTAGCCATCAAATGGTTAATACTGAAAGATTTTTTTGTTTATATTTCATAGAGAGTTACTGATTTCTAACATGTCCTTTCTTTGTTTTCTCCTATTAGTATTTCTCAGATGATACTGAGTCAGAAATCCTTCTAAAATAATTAAAATACACATTAATTGCTGAAATGAGTTTTTAT